AGTTTTTTTTTTTTTTTTTTTTTTTGTATCATTATTAAATAATTTATTTGATTTATATATTTATATTTAAAGAATTAATTATAACATAACAAAATAATTTTTAACCAAAACTATTTTTGGAAAAACAAAATTTAGTATGTGACGTGGAATTTTGTTGAGAGTAACGGCAGTTTGAATTATAGAACGGACTGTAGACGAAAAGCGTGGCATCTTTTGCCGTTCGTGGTCACTAAATAACTAGCTAGGGTTAAATGTAGGGTGTTAGCCTGTAGGATTGTGCCTTCACTCAAATTAACTCACCGACAGGTGACGCCAACAACATTCCTCGTGACTTGTTTGGAATGGGCTTTTCAGGTCGAGAACCATTCCAATGGGCCCAACTGGGTCTGGATTCACGTTCATATCATATCATCGTAGATTAAGAATATTCAACGTTTGCAATATTAGTGATGCATTATAACTTGAAAGTGTTCAATATTTAAATTTTATAAGATTTTTGTTATTAATATAACATATATTATAAAATAAGCATGATTTAAATAATAATAATAATAATAATAAAAGTCAGACAACCCAATCAAATCCAACCCGAAAATAGAGTGTTGAGTTGGGTTAGGTGTGACTCTATTTAGGTTGTTCTGATCGCCAATCCAATCAATTTCAAATTTCTTGTATAGTTTGAAGTTTTTGATAAAGTCAAATATCATAAATAATCACGGAACAAAATATGGTTGGTGGTTGAATGTCCACAACTTAAAAATGGGAGGAAAAAAATATTATTAATTAAATAACAAAGTCAACCAATGGTAATATAAAGCTCTGTGTATTATAGTTTTGTAAAATTAAAATAAAAGCCTTTATTTGGAAAACTAATATAGGGGTTAGGTGATGTTTTATTTGAATTTAATATAAATTTAGACTATTTTATTTCAATTAAAGTTATTTTCTCTTCGGATTATGATTTGACATAAATTAATATTTCATTACTGTAAATATTTATACCTAACATTAAATATTTTATTAAATAAAATATACTTTATACCATTATTAATTTAAGACTTTAATATATTCAACTTGTAATAGTGAAGGATAATATATATATATATATATATATATATATATATATATATATATATATATATATTTTTGTAGGTATAGAGCAAATAAATAATGTTTTGAATTACAAATCAATTTTTCGATCATTAATATATTTAACAATTTTTTTAAAAATTTAAAAATATTATTACAAATAAATTTTAATTTCATGTCTAATAGATATATAAATTTAAAATTGAATCTATTATGAACCGTTAGATACAAATTTGAAAGTTGGGTAGATTAAAATTTACGCGTACTAAAATTTTAATTTAATCATAAAATACCAATCAAATGTCAAATGATTATTTAGAAGCTAAACACGAGCATTCAATTGTATATTAAAATACAAAAAAAAAAAAAAACATAATACTTTAGTTGACTTTCTGTCTATTTCATGTTGTAAATCTTGGTATTGTTTGACTGAAATGAATAAAAACCTAGTCTATGGTGAAAATTTTATGCTCCAACTTGAAGTATTTAAATTATTTTTGAAGCAATTTGGTTATATTAAAATATATTTATATCATGTCACAATACATTAAAAATTTAGGATCATTATTGACGTGATCCATATTATAATTTGACACGTCATATATGTATTTAAATACAAAACTATATTATTTTAAATTAAAAAAGAAGATTAAAACTATAGAATAATAGAAAGAAATTAAATATTAAAATTCTCTTACACAATTTTGTTTTAATTACGTGGCGGTGGGACAAACTACCGCATGAAGGTCAACAGGTCAACATTGCCGGCTTCCTTTTTTTCTTTTTTAAATTTTATTTACGAAATAGCGATTGTCATGTTTTTATATTATTTATAAAGCCTTTTGTAATTGTTAATATAAATAAAAAAAGATAACAATGATTTTTTGTTTTTTTTTTTTTTTTTTTTGACAAAATCCATGACTATTTTTATTGAAGTTAAAAGCAAAATCACTAGAGTTTATATTCCAAATAAAATAATATCATTATCATTGTGGAGGGTTGTGTTTATCTAACATGGTATATCAATAGAATCCTCAAATGTCCAAGAACGAGACTAGATTTGGAAAAGTGAGTTGAATCATCGTAAGCGGTGCAAACAAGGAGGATGTAAACATAGTTTATCGAAATTAGATTTATAGAATTGTTTTGAAACTTGATGAGTTACTTGTGAATGAAGATTAGGGCCGAAGGAACGAAGCCTTTATCGAGATTCAGAAACTCTCCACCAGCGCTGCGGGGCTCTGTCGCTTACAAACTAAACTGTTCTAAAACCAATGGTAAATCCATAGAAAGAGGAGGCAGCGAAGTTAATGCCATTTTGAATCTACACCTACTTGAACTGTCAGTGTAGGCCATAAAACGCCAAGTCAACCCTTTTGCACCTTTTGTCCTCAGCTGCTTAAAACCCCCCTTTCTTTCTTCCTTTCCCTTCTCAATTTCAGTTTCTTTTGGCTTTCTCATGGAACTTCTTCTACCTTTCACACTTTTAAAACAAACCCACTTCCCATTCACGGGCTAGGCTACTGCTACTGCTAGTTCTAGCTCCCTCTTCTTCTTCTTTTTCCCTTCATTTCCCCTGTTTTGGAGCCGCTTTGTCCAGAGCTTTGTTTTGAGCTTGCTGTTCATGGGGTCCTGCCTCAGTGCTAGGATCAAAGCTGAGAGCCCTCTTCACAATGGTTTCAACCTTTTCCTTCTTTGTTCTCTATGATTCTGGTTGTTTTTGATAGCTAAAATGATGTGATTGGAGTGACCAAATTCGGGTTGTTTTTGTATGATTCATGTCAGAGTTCAAAGGGGTTAGTTACATTGTAAGACTATGTGGGTTCGTAAAAAGGCTCTTTCGTGGTACTACTTTTAGGATTTTCTTTTTTAATGTCTCTGATGGGAAAACTAAAGCAAGCATGGTTGAGGATTGTTGGAGGGCTATTGGGAAGGAGTGGAGCCTCGATCGAGGCTGTTCGAGGGCTCCATACGCTTCATGAGAGGCTCTATGGAGTATTTTGTTCGAGGGGAACATTGTTGAGAATTGTTGGGAGAGGAATCACACGTCCCCTAATTAAAGGGTTGATCATGGATTCATAAGTAAGGAACATTATCTCCATTGGTACGAGGTCTTCTATGAAAACTAAAAGAAAAACCACGAGAGCGTACTCTCAAAGTGGACTATATCGTACCATTGTGGGGATTCGTTATTTCTAACCGTTAGTGATTTATGAATCTTTTTTTAGCTGAATCAACTTAAAAACTAGATCAAGCAACCTTGTGAAGCATCAGTGTGCATGTTAATTCTGTGTTCTATTGGCTGTCAGTATATGCCTCTTTGCTTCTGCTTATGCTTTTATATCAATGGTTGTATATAATGCCTTCTACACAGGCCTGAGCTCCAAGGATGCAAGAGATGGAGATGATAAAGGTAATTCAATCAGCAAGTCCTCATCAGTATCGACCCCGCGGACTCCACGAACAGAAGGCGAGATCTTGCAGTCCTCCAACTTGAAAAACTTCCCCTACAACGAGCTTAAAACCGCCACTCGAAACTTCCGGCCTGATAGTGTGTTGGGTGAGGGTGGTTTTGGTTCTGTCTTTAAAGGGTGGATTGATGAGCAGTCCTTTGCAGCTACCAAGCCCGGGACTGGCTTGGTCATTGCAGTGAAAAGGCTCAACCAAGAAGGCTTTCAGGGTCACAGAGAATGGCTGGTTAGTATCTCTCTATCCATTAACGTGTACTCTTCATGCTACTCTGCTTTTGGAATGGATTCATTTATGGATGTCTCAATTTACAGACAGAAATAGACTACCTTGGTCAGCTGCATCATCCTAATCTTGTGAGATTGATTGGCTTTTGTTTAGAGGACGAGCATCGACTTCTCGTTTACGAGTTTATGCCTCGAGGCAGCTTAGAAAACCATCTATTTAGGAGTAAGCTATTGACTTATTTCATCTGTTGAATTGGTATTGCAAGAATGGCTTAGATTCTCCTTTTATGTCTTTGGTGGATCAGGGAGTTCTCGGTTTCAACCTCTATCATGGAGCCTTAGAATGAAAGTTGCCCTTGGTGCAGCTAAAGGGCTAGCTTTTCTACATAGCGACGAAGCGAAAGTAATATATCGAGACTTCAAAAGCTCGAATATCCTGCTCGACTCAGTATGTGAGACAATTCAACCTCTTCAAGCTTATGTTTCTGACATATTTGTTGTTGATCTCATTTGTATTGAACTTTGAAATGACAGAGCTATAATGCAAAACTCTCTGATTTTGGATTAGCCAAGGATGGTCCTACAGGTGATAAAAGCTATGTTTCCACGAGAGTTATGGGAACATTTGGCTATGCTGCTCCTGAATATATGATCACAGGTAGCTTTCTAGTTGAGTTTGACTATGACTACTAGTTATTTAACGACGTCCTCTTCTTTTGAAGGTCATCTCACTTCGAAGAGCGATGTTTATAGTTTTGGAGTTGTTCTTCTCGAGATCCTATCGGGGAGACGAGCTATAGACAAAAACCGACCATCTGGAGAACATAATCTTGTGGAATGGGCCAAACCTTACCTCGCTAGCAAACGAAGAATTCTTCGAATATTGGATGCACGTATCGAAGGCCAGTATTCGACAGGAGGAGCACTGAAAGCAGCTAAACTTGCCATTCAATGCATATCAACTGAACCCAAGTTAAGGCCTAACATGAATGTGGTAGTGAAAGCATTGGAGCAAATTCAGGATTCCAGTGAAACAAATGGATCAAGAGGTGGCCCTGTAAGCAAACCCCTAAAGAACTCCAGTCAAGGCCGTGGCTCCACAAATAACAAAGCTGTTTCTTATCCTAGACCATCAGCTTCAGTACTAAATCTTTAGACATCTGATGAACCGGCTAACGTTTCGGCCGAACCGGATGACCCCTCATGTTTGTAACTGAATCATTGTACAGCTTCTTGTTTAAAGATGTTTGTCTGCAGAATCAGTCCCCTTGTGTGTTTCCTGTTCTTGCTTGGTAAGAACAAGATTTCGTTCCACGAAGAGTCAGGCATCATAAGCTTAAAACACTCGTTTCAAACAATGCTTCAACAAAATAGAGTGTTGTTCTTCTTATAGAGTTGAGAATAGCAGAAAAATTCTACATATTCTGCTGTAGTTGTTACTTTTTCCTCTTGGATCTGGCAATAAATCCCTCTGAAAGATTGAATTTCCCTTCTTTGCTTGTGCCCATTTTGAAAAGCAGCCTCCAACTTGAGTATCAAAGTCATAGCTGTTCATGGATTATAAAAAGGACCCAGGTAGGGAAATGATATCAATTCCCGTGTATCACATGGATGCTTCCTTTGACCGCTACCATTGTCTAAATTTTATATTCACGACATATATTAATGACTAAAACATTACTTCACCCGATGAACTCAAGATCTTAATGCATCTAATTTTATCTCCCAAGTAACTTTGAGCTAAATAAAGGGTGTTTTTGTAACTTTTTGCAGTATTACTAAGAACCCATTTGGGAAAAAATCGATGTATAAAAGAAAGTCGAAATCTTTACTAATATGAAGAGCTTATAATGGCATGGGAAGCCACCAAAGTTCGATAGTTCAAAAACCCGGGTGGACTTGACCGTGTTGGTCGTGGGTGGCGTGTCTGCGTGATTGGTTGAGTCATCGATTTTGACAACTGGGCTGCGGCAGGCCATCTATATAAACCCACTCCGCAAAATATTCGTTGAAGCTGGACGAAGAGAAACGCAAAGATGGCGATCGGAACTTTGGAGGTGAAATTGGTAAACGCAAAGGGACTTCGAGGCACAGATTTTCTGGGTAATACTCTTTCTTCGTTCCCATACCCTCTGGTGTTCTTCAGATTCTTGATTGATTCCATCTTTCCTGGCTTGTGATGACTAATTTAGAAGAATCGGGGGTTTCTACTTGCCCTTGTTTATTGAATCAAGCTGTTAGATCTGGATGGGTTTGTAATTGGAATGAAGTTAGTTTGTGATTAAGCTAATGATCTTCTTCTCACATAACAGGTGGAATTGACCCTTATGTTCTGATTCAGTATAAGGGCCAAGAGCGCAAGAGCAGCGTTGCCAGAGGTTACTCTTCGTCCTTATTGCTTGCTAGCTCATAAATGATGAACTAATATATATATGGTATCAATTTTTTCATTGAGAATCTGCTTAGGCTGCACCAAAACATCTATTACTTCATTTTCTCTCTTGATGAATACTCCTGTTCATATGATTTGTTAAAATGTTATCTGTGTTCTTGGGAATGCAACTGGGCTTTTGTGTGATTAAGCATAAGAAATTAAGAACATTTTTGATCTGGGTTTGGGAAAGTGAGATGTGCTGTTCTTGTTTGTGTAACTTTAATGGTGCAGATGAAGGAGGCTGTCCGGTATGGAATGAGACATTTACATTCCGAGCAGAGTACCCTGGAAGCGGTGATGACTTCAAGCTCGTCCTCAAGATCATGGACCATGACAACTTCTCTGCTGATGATTTCATTGGCCAAACTTCGTAAGACCCTTCATCTTCATCTAGATATTGTCCTCTTTAGACTTTTTCTTTTAGGTTTCCCCTGGTTTAAAACTTTGAGAGGTTCCACACATTTGTAAAAAATGATTCGTTCTCCTCTCCAACCAATGTGGGATCTCACGATCTACCCTCTTCGGTGCCCAGCATTACTCAATCCACCCACTTTGGGGCCCCGCGTCCTCGCTGACAAAACACATAGTGTCCACACCTTTTGAGACTCAGCCTCCTCGCTGGCACACTGCCTAATGTCCACCCTTACAGGGCTCAGCCTCCTCGCCAGCACATTGCCTAGTGTCTGACTCTGATATCATTTATAACAGCCCAAGTCCAAACTGACTGTTAGCCGATATTGTCCTCCTCGGATTTTCCCTTCTGAGCTTCCCCTCAAGGTTTTAAAACGCGTTAATTAAGGAGAGGTTTCCACACCTTTATAAGGAATGATTTGTTCCCCTCTCCAACCGACATGGGATCTCACACAACAATACCATTACTCTACCAACACCAACTAGATTGCAACATTAGAATAGAAAATAAGAACGATTCATTTGTTTGACACTGTTGCAGGATATACGTCGAAGATTTGTTAGCTCTTGGAGCTGAGAACGGCGTGTCGGAGTTACGGGCTCAAAAGTATAGCGTGGTAGGAGCCAATCTAAACTACTCCGGAGAAATTCAAGTGGGAGTGAGCTTCACCCAGAAGGTAATTGAGCTTGTTTACACAAAAAAAAAAAAAAAAAAAAAA